CTTCTTCCAGCACGCTGACATTTGTCCGCTTGATGGCGGAGGACCATCGATGGCAGAGGACCATCGCTTCAGTGCTGGTGGTCTTTGCTTCTTCCAGCACGCTGACATTTGTCCGCTTGATGGCAGAGGACCATCGATGGCAGAGGACCATCGTTTCAGTGCTGGTGGTCTTTGCTTCTTCCAGCACGCTGACATTTGTCCGCTTGATGGCGGAGGACCATCGATGGCAGAGGACCATCGCTTCAGTGCTGGTGGTCTTTGCTTCTTCCAGCACGCTGACATTTGTCCGCTTGATGGCGGAGGACCATCGATGGCAGAGGACCATCGCTTCAGTGCTGGTGGTCTTTGCTTCTTCCAGCACGCTGACATTTGTCCGCTTGATGGCGGAGGACCATCGATGGCAGAGGACCATCGCTTCAGTGCTGGTGGTCTTTGCTTCTTCCAGCACGCTGACATTTGTCCGCTTGATGGCGGAGGACCATCGATGGCAGAGGACCATCGCTTCAGTGCTGGTGGTCTTTGCTTCTTCCAGCACGCTGACATTTGTCCGCTTGATGGCGGAGGACCATCGATGGCAGAGGACCATCGCTTCAGTGCTGGTGGTCTTTGCTTCTTCCAGCACGCTGACATTTGTCCGCTTGATGGCGGAGGACCATCGATGGCAGAGGACCATCGCTTCAGTGCTGGTGGTCTTTGCTTCTTCCAGCACGCTGACATTTGTCCGCTTGATGGCGGAGGACCATCGATGGCAGAGGACCATCGCTTCAGTGCTGGTGGTCTTTGCTTCTTCCAGCACGCTGACATTTGTCCGCTTGATGGCGGAGGACCATCGATGGCAGAGGACCATCGCTTCAGTGCTGGTGGTCTTTGCTTCTTCCAGCACGCTGACATTTGTCCGCTTGATGGCGGAGGACCATCGATGGCAGAGGACCATCGCTTCAGTGCTGGTGGTCTTTGCTTCTTCCAGCACGCTGACATTTGTCCGCTTGATGGCAGAGGACCATCGATGGCAGAGGACCATCGCTTCAGTGCTGGTGGTCTTTGCTTCTTCCACCACGCTGACATTTGTCCGCTTGATGGCAGAGGACCATCGATGGCAGAGGACCATCGCTTCAGTGCTGGTGGTCTTTGCTTCTTCCAGCACGCTGACATTTGTCCGCTTGATGGCAGAGGACCATCGATGGCAGAGGACCATCGCTTCAGTGCTGGTGGTCTTTGCTTCTTCCAGCACGCTGACATTTGTCCGCTTGATGGCAGAGGACCATCGATGGCAGAGGACCATCGCTTCAGTGCTGGTGGTCTTTGCTTCTTCCACCACGCTGACATTTGTCCGCTTGATGGCAGAGGACCATCGATGGCAGAGGACCATCGCTTCAGTGCTGGTGGTCTTTGCTTCTTCCAGCACGCTGACATTTGTCCGCTTGATGGCAGAGGACCATCGATGGCAGAGGACCATTGCTTCAGTGCCGGTGGTCTTTGCTTCTTCCAGCACGCTGACATTTGTTCGCTTGTCTTCCCAAGAGATTTGCAAGATTTTCCGGAGGCAACGTTGATGGAATCGTTCCAGGAGTTGCATGTGACGCCTGTAGACAGTCCACGTGTATAGCAGGGAGAACAATAGCTTTATAAACAAGCACCTTGGTATCCCTACAGACGTCCCAGTCCTCAAACACTCTCTGCTTCATTCGGAAAAAATGCTGCACTTGCAGAGCTCAGGCAGTGTGTTTATTTTGGTGTCAATGTTGACTTTTGTGGTGTTGTCCAGAGGAGCTTTTCTACAATTAAAACTTGTGAGCCAGCTGCACCTATACCTTCGGAAGTTTGACTTGGCCACTGTGGTCCACGCTCTGGTTACATCCCAAATAGACTACTGCAATGCGCTGTACATGGGGCTGCCTTTGAAAACTGCTTGGAAGTTTCAAATGGTCCAACAGGCAGAAGCCAGATATCTCACTGGGGCAGGGAGCACACAACCCCCTGTTATGCAGATCCACTGGCTGCCAGTCTACTACCGAGCACAATTCAAAGTATTGGCTTTAGTCTATAAAGCCCTAAACAGTTCCAGCCTAGGTTACCTGTCCTAGCGTATTTCCCCCTATGAACCACCTCGGAAATTAAGATAATCTGGGGAGGCCCTGCTCTCTGTCTCACCTCCTTCATGGGCATGATTGGTGGGCCCTCCTCAGTGGTGGCCCCTCGGCTATGGAACTCCCTCCCCAGAGATATTTGATCTGCCCCCTCCCTCCTGACCTTTAGGAAAAAATTGAAAACATGGCTTCCGAACAGTAACGGGAGTAGTGTAGTATTAGACTACCAATTAATATGACGACTTGGACCGGACCTGGAATACCATTTGGATCATGAGATTTTAATCGATGTTTTAATGCCATGTTTTTAAGGGGATTGGTTTAAACATTTTTGTTTATTTACCAATGTACGAGGGTTGAATGAAAAGTAATGCTTCCACCTTCGTTACATGGTTTTGGATGGGAATATTTTAATAAATAAAACGCAGAAATAATCGTTAGAATGTGCTATTTAACTACTATTCACTTTTCCACATAATCACCAGGCAATTGGATAGATTTCTGCCAACGATGAAGCCGTCACAGAAGTTGACACTCTGTTTCCGCAACCAGCATCTCACAGTTCTCTCAACATCTTCATCAGAAGCATAATGATGTCCCCGCAGATCTTCTTTCATTATCGGGAACAGAAGGAAGTCAGACGGTGCTAAATCTGGACTGTATGGAGGATGCCGTACGGTGGCGATATCCAGTCTCTGAAGTTTCAAGTCTGTGTGCTTTCATTTGCGGCGTCAGCATCCTGCGTACCCATAGTGCACAGATCTTCCGATAGCCAAGCAATGCAATACCACTATTCACTTTCCCACATAATCACCAGACAATTGGATATATTTCTGCCAACAATGAACACGTTTTCTGAAGCCGTCACGGAAGAAGTCAACACTCTGTTTGCGCAACCAGTGTCTCACAGTTTTCTCAACGTCTTCATCAGAAGCGTAATGATGTCTCCGCAGATCTTCTTTCATTATCGGGAACAGACGGAAATCAGACGGTGCTAAATCTGGACTGTATGGAAGATGTCGTACAGTGGTGAGATCCAGTCTCTGAAGTTTCAAGTCTGTGTGCTTTCATTTCAGACCTCAGCATCCTGGGTACCCATCGTGCACAGATCTTCCGATAGCTAAGCAAAGCAATAATGTGACCCACACGTTCTTGTGAAATGCCGATTATGCTTGAAATTTCTCTGAGTGATACGACAATCGGTCTGAATCAATCTGTCAACCTTTTGCTTGTGAAACTCGGTAGTTGCTGTCACAGGACATCCAACTCTTTGCTTGTCACGCAAATCAGATGTTCCCACCTCAACATCTGTAAACTTACTCGCCCAACAATGCACGGTACTCACATTAACAATCACCATAAACAGCTTGCATTCTCTGCTTCCCTGGAGACTAGGACGCGAAACGATGGCTTCAAACTACAAGAAAGGAGATTCCATCTGAACATGAGGAAGAACTTCCTGACTGTGAGAGCCGTTCAGCAGTGGAACTCTCTGTCCCGGAGTGTGGTGGAGGCTCCTTCTTTGGAAGCTTTTAAACAGAGGCTGGATGGCCATCTGTTGAGGGTACTTTGAATGCAATATTCCTGCTCCTTGGCAGAATGGGGTTGGACTGGATGGCCCATGAGGTCTCTTCCAACTCTTTGATTCTATGATTCTGATGAATCTCCTTTGGAGTGACACCTTCTGCTATCAAGAATTCTATGACTGCATGTTGCCTAAGTCGCATTGAGCGACTGTCTGCGCAGGGGTCCATACTTCACACTTTCCCACATAATCACCAGACAATTGGATACATTTCTGCCAACAATGAACAAGTTTTCTGAAGCTGTCACAGAAGTCGACACTCTGTTTCGCAACCTTGTCTCACAGTTCTCTCCTCCTGGGTACCCATCGTGCACAGATCTTCCGATAGCCAAGCAAAGCAATAATGTGACCCATACGTTCTCATTAAATGCCGATTATGCTTGCAATTTCTCTCTGAGTGATACGATGATCATCCTAAATCAATCTGTCAATCTTTTGCTTGTGAAACTCAGTGATTGCTGTCACAGGACGTCCAACTCTTTGTCATGCAAGTCAGATCTTCCCACCTCAATGTCTTTAAACTTACTCACCCAACGACGCACAATACTCACCTCAACACAATCACCATAAACAGCTTGCATTCTCTGCTTCCCTGGAGACTAGGACGTGAAACGATGGCTTCAAACTACAAGAAGCAGGAATATTGCGTTCAAATCACCCCTGACAGATGGCCATCCAGCCTCTGTTTAAAAGCTTCCAAAGAAGGAGCCTCCACCACACTCCGGGGCAGAGTGTTCCACTGCTGAACGGCTCTCACAGTCAGGAAGTTCTTCCTCATGTTCAGATGGAATCTCCTTTCTTGGCAGGGGGTTGGACTGGATGGCCCATGAGGTCTCTTCCAACTCTTTGATTCTATGATTCTGATGAATCTCCTTTGGAGTGACACCTTCTGCTATCAAGAATTCTATGACTGTATGTTGCCTAAGTCGCATTGACCGACTGTCTGCGCAGGGGTCCATACTTCGCACTTTAACAACACAACCGTTCAGTGCTAAGGCTTCCCGCCAAAATGGAACTGTAGAGGAGAGTTTACTGAACAAGCCAGTACCTGCCGCATACCAGTACTGCCATCTGTTGAGGAGTTACGAAGGTGGAGGCATTACTTTTCATTGATATGGCTTTGAATGAGTCCCCTTTGGGGTTGAGAAGAGTCGGGTATAAATGGGGTAAATAAATACATACATTCATTCATCCTTCTCCTCTTGCATCCCTTTCTTTTCGTCCAAGTCAGCCAAACCTATCCACCATTATCTCTTTCAGCTTTCCTTCATTAACATATAGTTCTGGAGACGATTCCCCGCTCGGTATGACGCCGGAGCAGAAACATGCACGCTTCTCTTTCGGTTTATTATGCATATTAATAAATATTCTTTATTTTTAAATTTTGCACATTGCGCTTCAACATATTACATCCAGAACAATTTCTCTTTGCAAATGGATGTCTACTTTGTAAAATCTTTATATTTGAACTCATTGTCATTTTTTTTTCTGTACAGAATTATAAGTACAACATTACTTTTTTTTTGCCACTAAGTTGCGTATTTTTGTCTTTCTCTGTTAAGTGTCACAGTTAAGAGAAACATTGAATGAAAAGGAGAGAAACAGAGAGATGGCTTAAATTAGGAAGGTCTAGATTTGCTTCGATCTAGTAAAAAAGAAGAAGGAAGAGGAAATTACTCAAGATCCGAGCCTGGGGGGCGGGCGGGGGGCATGGGGGGGAGAAGCCAAAAAATTAATGGGTTTGCCTTCTACCAACCTTCTGTATCGGGGAAAAAGGGGAAACAAAGAAAGGGGGGGAAACCCAGACACATTGATTTTTCTGAAACAGAAGATCTTGTTTTAGTCACTAAAGAAAAGATTTCATCTTAAGAGAGAAAAGGCGCGATACTCGTTTCGAAATTTTTCATTGACAGACAGAGCTAGTTTTATTGGCTTTAGTTTGCGCCGGCGGTGGTCAGCCAGCCGCTACAAACCGGGCCCTTGTGGTCGTTCAAGCGGCAGTATTTGTTAAACTTTTCTTTCAGGTGCTGTCGGTATTGTTCTCTATTGCTGTAGAAAGACTTGTTGTTCGCCATGAAGGACTGGATCTCGTCTTGAGAGATGAAGAGTTCTTCGTCGGAAGTGCATTCAGATTCGTCCTGAGAAAAAGAGAGAGAGAGGAGGGTTTACGAGGAGAGAAGGAAGGCGGAAGTCCTCAAATACTTCCAAGCCTATTTCACAATTTTTTTGGATCTTTACTTATTTAGTACAAGCTGTAGCGTTGCTGTGGCCAACCTTCCCTCTTTCTTTCCTTCACTCCCTCTTTCCTTCTTTCGTTCCCATCTTTCTTCCTCTTCTTCCTTCCTTCTCTATCTCTTTCCTTCCTTCCCCCTTTTTCTTTCTCCTCTGCTGTCTCTCTTTTCTTCCTTCTCTCTTCCCTCCCTCTTTCTCTACCCCTTCCTTCCTTCCTTCCTTCCTTCCTTCCTTCCTTCCTTCCTTCCTTCCTTCCCGTCTTTCCTTCTCTTCTTCCTTCCTTCTCTATCTCTTTCCTTCCTTCCCTTTTTCTTTCTCTTCTGCTGTCTCTCTTTTCTTCCTTCTCTTTCCTTCCCTCCCTCTTTCTCTACATCTTCCCCCCTTCTCCCTCTTTCCTTCCTTCTTTCCCTTCTTTTCTCCCTTTCTTCCTTCTCTTCTCTTCCTTCCTTCCCCTTTTTCTTCTCTTCTCTCTCTTTCTTCTTCTCTTTCTCTTTCCCCTTCCCTCTTTCCTCTCTTCTCTTCCTTCTTTCCCTTTTTTTTCTTTCCTTCTCTCCTTCTTCCTTCTCTCTCTTCCTTCCTTCCCTCTTTCTTCTCTTCTGCTTCTCTCTTTTTTCCTTCCTTCCTTCCTTCCTCTTTCTCTTCCTTCCCCTTTCTTTCTTTCTCCTTCCTTCCTTCTCTTCCTCCCCCTTTTCTTTCCCTCCTCTTTCTCTCCTTCTTCCTTCTCTATCTCTTTCCTTCTTCCCCCTTTTTCTTTCTCTCTGCTGTCTCTCTTTTCTTCCTTCTCTCTTTCCTTCTTTCCTTCCCTCCCTCTTTCTTTACATCTTCCCCCTTCCTTCACTCCCTCTTTCCTTCCTTCATTCCTTCCTTCTCTATCTCTTTCCTTCCTCCCCCTTTTTCTTTCTCTTCTGCTGTCTCTCTTTTCTTCCTTCTCTTTCCTTCCCTCCCTCTTTCTCTACATCTTCCCCCTTCCCCCTTACTTCACTTCCTCTTTCCTTCTCTCCCTCCTTCCTTTTCTAACTTTCCTTCCTTCCCCTTTTCTTTCTCTTCTGTTGTCTCTCTTTTCTTCCTTCTCTTTCCTTCTTTCCTTCCTCCTTCTTTCTCTACATCTTCCCCCTTCCTCTTCCTTCACTTCTTCTTTCCCTTTTTTCTTTCCTTCTCTCCTTCCTTCCTTTTCTAACTTTCCTTCCTTCCTTCCCCCTTTTTCTCTCTCTTCTACTGTATCTCTTTTCTTCCTTCTCTCTTTCCTTCCCTCCCTCTTTCTCTACATCTTCCCCCCTTTTTCTTTCCTTCCCTCCTTCCTTCCTTCTCTCCTTCCTTCTCCCTTTTTCTTCCCCTCCCTCTTTCTCTCCTTTCTTCCTTCTCTATCTCTTTCCTTCCTTCCCCTTTTTCTTTCTCTTCTGCTGTCTCTCTTTTCTTCCTTCTCTCTTTCTTTCTTTCCCCTCTTTCTCTACATCTTCCCCCTTCCTTCACTTCCTCTTTCCCTTTTTTCTTTCCTTCTCTCCTTCCTTCCTAGGACAGGTTGAGAAACACTGCCCTAGGAGTGTCTTTTCTTCCCACTACAAAGCCCTTTTGATACTGAGAAGGAGATGAGCTTTCCACTTTCCACGCCTAAGTCTCAGTGACAAAAACACCCATCAGACATAAGCCACACCAGAATCCCCGGCTCCTCCTCCAATCACTTACAAGGAGTTCTACCAAACTCTTAGCGCCCTTCCCAGCATCAGGAGCGGAGGCCGCCTCGGGAGGCTCTGCGCAGAGCAGCACCGTCTTCCTGTGCTCTGTCCAAGGCACTGGCTGCCCGGCCTTCTCTGAGCGACAGCACGTTTCGGCCCGCGGGTCTTTGGTCTTGTCCCGGTGGAAGTCTGTGTGCGCGGCCGTCCCTGAGTTCTCGTGAGGGCTGCTGGCCTCCACAGCGTAGTTCCCCAGCTTTTGGATCTGAAACAGGAGTCGGGAAAGAAAGGTTTCAAAACAAAAGGAATATTTCTTTGCATCTGCAAAGACACAGCTACACCAGCACTAAGTGTAGTGGCTGGATTGTGGCGCAGCTGGCTGGGAGTCAGCTGCATTAAAATCACTACTGACCAAAAGGTCATGAGTTCAAAGCCAGCCCAGGTTGGAGTAAGCTCCCAACCATTTGTCTAGTTTGCTGTCAACCTTTGCAGCCTGAAAGACAGTTGCATCTGTCAAGTAGGAAATCTAGGTACCGCTTATGCGAGGAGGCATAGTGGTTCCTATAGTGGAACCCTCTGCCCTGGAGTGTGGTGGAGGCTCCCTCTTTGGAAGTTTTTAAACAGAGGCTGGATGGCTATCTCTCAGGGGTGCTTTAAATGCAATATTCCTGCTTCTTGGCAGGGGGTTGGACTGGATGGTCCATGAGGTCTCTTCCAACTCTAGAATTCTATGATTCTATGATCCAGGTAGGATCGGAGCCACTGCAACCAAGCTAACATTGGATCTAGTGCTCTAAGTGGAGGTCAGCTGTGACCAGCAGTGCTGTAGAATTTGAAGAGGCATGAATGGAGGGAGAAAGAGACAAATGTGCCAAGAGAAAGGCGTGTCAAGCCAACCTCGACCAGGGCCGCCTTCCACCTGGAAACCAATGCCCACACTGCGGAAGGGAGAACATGTGGATCAAGAATAGGACTCCACAATCACCTACGGACACACCGCCAGTACACCGATCTTGGAAGACAATCCTACTTGGACAACGAGGGATCATCCAAGTAAATAAGTAGACCTTGGAGGCTAAACTTGGAGCACAATGCCTTTCTCAAATAACCCGCGCACTGCCCATGAGGTCTCTTCTAACTCTATGATTCTATAATTCTATGAGGCTAATTTAACTAATTTACGACACCATAAAACTCTCCAGGAGCTTGCAAAAGAATGAGGAAGTACTCCATGGTTGTCACAAGTGGACAGTGAAGCAACAGCTCCCCCGGTGGCCAGAATTCAAAGCATACCCTCATTAAGCTGGAAAATTAAATAGCCTCTGTGTGTCGGTCTATATATGTTGTGTGTCTATGGCAGGGGTCCTCAAACTTTATACAGAGGGCCAGGTCAAAGTCCCTCAAACTGTTGGAGAGCCAGATTATAATTTGGGGAAAAAATGAATGAATTCCTATGCACACTGCACATATCTTATTTGTAGTGCTAATAACACTTAAAATCAATACAATAATTAAAATGAAGAACAATTTCAACAAATATAAACTTATTAGTATTTCAATGGGCAGTGTGGGCCTGCTTTTGGCTGATGAGATAGGATTGTTGTTGTTGTTGCTGTGTGCTTTCAAGTCATTTCAGCCTTGGGTTGACCCTGAGTAAGGGCCGGGTAAATGACCATGGGGGCTGTATCTGGCCCGCGGGCCTTAGTTTGAGGACCCCTGGTCTATGGCAATGAATGTTTGCCATGTATTATATGCATTGTGATCCGCCCTGAGTCGCCTGCGGGGTGAGAAAGGCGGAATATAAATAATAATAATCTATATAAATAAAAATGTAATGTTCATTTCTGGGATTAACATAACTCAAAAACTACTGGGGGAATTGACACCAAATTTGGACACAAGACACCTAACAACCCAATGTATGTCCTTCACTCAAAAAAAATGATTTTGTCATTTGGGAGTTGTAGTTGCTGGGATTTAGAGTTCACCTACAATCAAAGAGCATTCTGAACTCCATCAATGATGGAATTGAACTAAACATGGCACACAGGACTCCCATGACCAACAGAAAACACTAGAAGGGTTTGGTGGGCATTGATCTTGATTTTGGGAGTTGTAGTTCACCTATATCCAGAGAGCACTGTGGACTCAAACAAGGATGGATCTGGACCAAACTTGGCACGAATACTCCATATGTCCAAATGTGAACTCAGATGGAGTTTGGGGGAAACAGACCCTGACATTTGGGAGTTGTTGTTACTGGGATTTATGGTTCACCTACATATAATCAAAGAGCATTCTGAACTCCACCGATGACAGAATTGGGGCTAACTTCCCACACAGGACGCCCATGACCAACAGAAAATACTTAAGGCCATCCAGTCCAACTCTCTTCACCAGGACAAGAAAATGTAATCAAATCCCTCCTGACAAATAGCCATCCAGCCATAGATATAGATAGATCGATATGATTCACGCATACAAAGATATAGTATCCTAGATTTGAAAGGGCAATTACATGTTGCATGCTCCAGAGTAGGCAAACCAGACAATCTCCACATCAACACTGACAAAGAAACAGCAAGAAGTGCTGTTTACCCACAAGCAGAAAGAAATTATATATATTAGAAACCAACATTTTCTCATTACTTTATTTTGGAGATCACCAGACTGGGCCACAGCAACGTGTGGCAGGGGACAGCTAGTAGTAGTAATAATAATAATAATAATAGTCCCCCAGAGAAGAAAAAAACAACTCACATGCTCAGCCTCGCACTTCTTGTTTTTCTTTTTCTTCTTCTTGTTTTTGCCCTTCAGGTTGTGGTCTTCAGAGTTTGCCCAGCACTCTACGCAACTGTCCCCGTCCTCTTCCTTGTCATCGCAGCGATGGAGGCACGGATCGTCGCCTGCAAGAGAAGGGGAAGCCATGCATCAATCTGAAAAGAGTGGCACTCCTCTGGGAAGCTCTTCAACGCAACCCCACAGTCGCGGATTCGCGATTACCAGGATGCGGATGATGGCACAGAAACCCTCCCGGGCTTCAGGTTTACCAGGATAGGATGTGGTGAGACCCCAAGAATTGGAGACATGGACAGACTCCGAACAGGAGATGAGAGAGGTGGTGTGCCAGCTGCAGGATTTTGGACCCAACCTACCGTTTTCATCATGGTTGCAAATGCCTTCAGTGCAAGCCACATCGGAGCCCTCTCGCGATCCGGTTTCGCTGCCCTCCATGCTGGAGGAATAGCCACAGTCGCTCCCATTACAATGTGCAGATAAACCTGGTGGAGGGGGGAAATAAGATCATTTAGGGGAACACATCTAGGGTCTGGAGAACAAGCCCTATGAGGAGCGGCTTAAAGAGCTGGGCATGTTTAGCCTGAAAGGCTGAGAGGAGACATGATAGCCATGTATAAGTATGTGAGAGGAAGTCATAGGGAGGAGGGACATTCAATGCCGTAGACACACAACATACTGTATATACTCGAGTATAAGCCTAGTTTTTCAGCCCCTTTTTAGGCTGAAAAAGCTGCCCTCGGCTTATACTCGAGTCAAAGTTATTTATTATTTTACTCTGTTATTACTATTATTTAATTACATTTATTATTTACTCTATTATTGGTATTATTACATTTACATTATTTTGCTCTGTTCTTATTTTATTACATTTATTTTACTCTGTTATTATTATTACATTTATTATTTTACTTTATTATTGTTATTGCATTTATTATTTTACTCTATTATTATTTTATTACATTTATTTTACTCTTATTTATTTTTATTATTTTTACATTTATTATTTTACTTTATTGTTGTTGATTACATTTATTACTTTACTCTCTTGATTATTATTGGAAGTATACGTAAGCACATTTACACTGAAAAAGGTTAGAATAATGGTTTAATCAAATGAAGTCCACTCAAAGAATGGAAAATTGGCAGCCATCCACTTGTGACAACGATGGAGTACTTCCTCATTCTTTTTGCACGCTGCTGGAGTTTTTTTTTTATGGTGTCGTAAATTAGTTAAATTAGCCTCCCCGCATGAGCGGTACCTAAATTTCCTACTTGACAGATGCAACTGTCTTTTGGGCTGCAAAGGTCGACAGCAAGCTAGGCAAATGGCCAGAAGCTCACTCCAACCCAGGCTGGCTTTGAACTTATGACCTCTCGGTCAGTAGTAATTTTAATGCAGCTGACTCTCAACCAGAAGCTCCAAAACCTGGTCCTGTTTGGTTTGTACAGAGACAGACCAAGCTTCGAATCCCTCTCAACCATGAAAACTCACACTCCTGAGGAGTCCGAAGAATAAAACAACAAATCTCCTCTGAATGAATGTTGCTAAGAAAACCAGGATGGTGTAGCGAAATTGCTACTCTATGTTAAATTTTTGGTGTATAGCTCTATGTTTACATATGGCAGATAGGGAAGAGTAGGCACAGACAGGGTAGCAACAGCAGAGATAGGATTCATTTGCATATGGAAGCCGATTGGTCATATGCAGATTAGCATAGGCCCAGGATTTGAACAGGTTGCTAGGCCAAAATGACAGTTGGAGAGAGAGCAGAGCTGAACATTCAAAAGGGGCGGAGCCAAAGTTTAAAAATAGGCAGTTAGAGAGTCAAAAGGGGGAGTGAGGAATTGCTGTTTGTGAAGGGAGTTAGGGATTCCTGTTGGTGAGAGACAGTTAGGAACTTCTGTGAGAGAAAAGAGTTCGGAACTCCTGTTAGAAATAAGCAGTTCTGAAGATGTGTTAAAGATTTCTGATATATATATAGAAACAGTTAAATAGAGCTCAAGGTTTAGGAACATAAAGAAAGCCAGTGGTGCTTTTGTCAGAATGTAATTTCAGTCAAGAGTGTGTAAAGCAAGTAACATGTTTGTGAATGTGAAACATTGAAAGTCTATTTCAGAAAAGTAAACCAAGTATATTATACTGACTGTAAGCCTCAAGATTGCAACAAAACACAAATGTAACCACAAGCGTTGGAGCCAGAAGTTATAAATAAACTGTGTTACTTCGTTATACAGAAGAGTATCTCATTGCCTGTACAAAGGTTAAACAGCACACAGAAAGTCCCAGCTAATATAAAAGAAGAAACCGAATCAGTATAAGAGCAAAGAGGTTTTTCTTTAATAAGGCAATAGTCTCCCTCCCTCGCTACTTTGTGTTGCCTTCAACAGAAAGGAACACTGTTCAAAATTGCCCTTTTGCCTGCTTTGGAAAACTAGTGCTCAATTACACCCAGAGACACTTTGACGTACCTTTCTTTATTTTGGGAGATCCCAGTAAAGTGCCGCCGGCAGGACAAGTACAGGAGGTGCTCTCGTTGGTGACGATCACTTCAACGCAGGTGCCTCTGTCTTCCGTGCTGCCACAGGCTTTGCAGCCACTTTCCAAGTAATTTTCCTTCAAGGAAACAAAAACAGAAGATGCATGGAGAAGGAGAACTGATGCAGATGAAAATACTACTGGCCCCCCACATTTCCCCTTTTGTGGATTTGATTACACTATGTAACAAAAATTGAAAAAGAAATCTGTTCCTGGTTTGAAAGTGTTGTTTCCTGTTTAACTGTGTGGTCCTCACTTTGAAAGTGTTTGCTCTACTCCAGAAACTTTGTTTGTGTGGCTGCCACAAACTCGATTGAATTGGTTGAGACCTGATGAGATACTCATTGGAAATATGTTCGGCAGGATATCCAAAGGGAAATAAGTAATATAGGTAAAGGTAAAGGTTTTCCCCTGACATTAAGTACAGTCGTGTCAGACTCTGGGGGTTGGTGCTCATCTCCATTTCTAAGCCAAAGAGCCGGCGTTGTCCTAGACACCTTCAAGGTCATATGGCCAGCATGACTACATGGAGCACCGTAATATTATATTACACCTACTGATCTACTCACATTTGCATGTTTTCAAACTGCTTAAATCGAACACTAGCATATAGGAAGCACTGCTTGAACACCAAGCACAAAGTAGCTGCACCCAATAACATCCTGCAGAAACTTACTGGGTGCAGACCCAAAATTTAGTAAGAACATCAGCCTTGGCCTTGTCTTACTCAACTGCCAAGTGTGCCTGCCCTGTTTGGCGTAAATCTGCCCATGCAAAGCAGGTGAACATAGCATTGAATGAAACATGCAGAATAATCACAGGATGTCTGAAACCTACATCTGTTGATCGACTATACAAGCTAGCTGCCATCCCCCCCCCCCCCCCCCCCCCCCCCCCGATGTGCGGTGGGAAGTTGCTGCTAAATGTAAGAGAAATAAGGTTGAACACTGTGAAAGCCACCCACTGCATGGCTACCAGCCTCCTCCCAGTAGACTCCAATCAAGGAAAAGCTTTATGGGAACTACCACTCCTCAGAGCGGCTTACAAGATATATATACATACAATATATTATATCGTTAGCATAGTATAATATCAGTATTATATATTACTATATTGTACTATACCATTATATTGTAATATTATTAGTAATATTACATGTAATATAAAATATATAATTATAATATCTTATTATTAGTAGTAGTATTATATTGCATTACATTATAATATTATAAATATTACATGTATATACAATATATTATATTATATTATATTATATTATATTTCAGTGTTTTAATTTTAACCATGTCATTGTGTTAGTAATTTCAATTTAATTCATTTTAACTGAATTTTGTATGTTTTGAGGCACTGCGTAGGTGCAATCTGTAAGCTGCCTTGAGTCCTCCTTTGGATAGAGAAAAAGCGGGATATAAATAAGGTCAAGAATTAAATAAAGGAGGAGGAAAGGACTAAAATAAAGACACTACAAGAAGAATAAGGTTCCCAGGATGGGGAGAGTGTGGAAGTACAACTATTGTCATTACTATATGTTTTTTTGGTTTTGTTTATGTGTTTTTCCCCCCTTTTTTCCGCTTTTAATGTTTTTTTTTTGTTCTCCCACTTTATATGTAAAATAACATACTTTTTATTCTATTTTAATAAAAATCATATAAATAAATAAATAAAGGAAATATGTTTGGTAGGATGTCCCGCAAAAACAACGTTTGGACAGTTTAATAAACTTTTCCCATGTTTTTTATGAGAAAATCAATTAGGAAATGACATGGATAACCCAGCAACAAAAACTATAGTATTGCGTAGCGTTTGTTCTTTGTGCCTCCTCCTGAGAAAAATGTATAATATCACAAAGGACGACCACCTCACCCGCCTCATAGGAAACCTGCTACAAAACAGGAGCTTTGTTGTTGAGTTCCAGGGCCAGAGAAGTAGATGGCGGAAACAGAAGAACGGCCTGCCTCAGGGGAGCGTGCTTGCTCCATCCATGTTCAACATCTACACAAATGACCAGCCACTGCCAGAAGGGACAGAGAGTTTCATCTATGCTGATGATCGCGCCATCACTGCTCAAGCAGGGAGCTTTGAGATGGTTGAACAGAAGCTCTCCAAAGCTCTAGGTGCTCTTACTGCCTATTACAGGGAAAACCAGCTGATCCCTAATCCATCTAAAACACAGACATGTGCCTTTCACCTTAAGAACAGACAAGCATCCCGAGCTCTGAGGATCACCTGGGAGGGAATCCCACTGGAGCATTGCAGCGCACCCAAATACCTGGGAGTCACTCTGGACCGTGCTCTGACCTACAAGAAGCACTGCCTGAACATCAAGCAAAAAGTGGGTGCTAGAAACAATATCATACGAAAGCTGACTGGCACAACCTGGGGATCACAACCAGACACAGTGAAGACATCTGCCCTTGCGCTATGCTACTCTGCTGCTGAGTACGCATGCCCAGTGTGGAACACATCTCACCACACTAAAACAGTGTGAGACATGCCGCATTATCACGGGGTGCCACTGGAGAAATTACACTGCTTAGCCGGTATTGCACCACCTGACATCCGCCGGGAAGTAGCAGCCAATAGTGAAAGGACCAAGGCAGTGACATCTCCAGCCCATCCCTTGTTTGGGCATCAGCCAGCATGCCAACGACTTAAATCAAGAAATAGTTTTCTAAGATCTACAGAGACACTCACTGGAACACCTCAGCAAGCGAGAGTCCAAAAGTGGCAGGCTCAAACCCAGAACCTCAATCAATGGCTGATACCAAATGAGAGTCTCCCCCCTGGGCACACAGAAAACTGGGCAACCTGGAAGGCGCTGAACAGACTGCGCTCTGGCACCACGAGATGCAGAGCCAACCTCAAGAAATGTGGCTACAAAGTGGAGTCTATGACATGCGAGTGTGGAGAGGAGCAAACCACTGACCACCTGCTGCAATGCAACCTGAGCCCTGCCACATGCACAATGGGGGACCTTCTTGCAGCAACACCAGAAGCACTTGAAGTGGCCAGCTACTGGTCAAAGGACATTTAATCAACTACCAGACTCACAAATGTTGTATTTTGTCTGCTTGTTTGCTTTGTTCTATTAGAAATGTAATATAATTGACTGGCTTCCCTGACCTGACAAATAAATAAATAAAAATACTTGGAGAAACACAACTCACCTTCTCCGGACTCCCCTCCTTATCTTCCGCCGCTTGCAAGGGGGCCGGGATCTCGCAGGCGCACTTATTTTTCCGCCGGTTCTTGCGCTTCTGCCTCTTCTTCTCCTGCTTCAGCTCCCGCACTCGCTCCTCTTCGGAGAACTCCTCGCAGAGCTGCTCCAGGCGGCTGATGCCCTGCACTCGCTCCACCGCCATCTGGGGAGGAAGACCAAAAGCTCGGCTAGGCAATACACAGACCTCGCAAGGGCCTTTCCTGGCAAGAGGCACTCAGAAGAAGGCTTTATTTTACTAAAAGCATACATTACGGTACGAAACAAAATTCCAACTGACAGTTTATTTCCATCACTCCTCCTATCCCTCACCCTGGCTCCTTCCCTTCATTGCTCCCCCTTGTTTCAAATAAATACAGGCCAGGTCTATGCCATGAGGCTGAGAGAGGGCGACTTGCCCGAGAGGTCACTCCATGAGGTTCACGGATGAGCAGGGATTCAAATCCTGATCTCCAGAATTACCTCAAAGCTTTTACGGAGGGCATCCACGCCAAGGTAGAAGAGCATCTGCCACGTCTGCTCCTCGGCCCGGAGCTTCTGCCAGATGCGGTGCAGCCGCTCGTAAAGGTGGATGCCCAAGCAGGTGAGGACCTCCTCTTGGGCAATGTCGATTGTCTTGGCATGTCTCTCTCGTCGCCTGAAAGTTGGAGGAAAAAAGTTGCCGTGATTTCCTAAATTTTCCCAGGCTACTATCACCTTGCAAATTTTTTCCCCTTGAGTATCTCTGATCCTTTTCTTTGGCTTGTTGTGGAAACAAGAATTAGAGACAAAGCTTCAGTAGGGACCCATCCTAGAGCTGGAAGAGACCTCAGGGGCCATCCAGTCCAACCCCATTCCTCCAAGAAGCAGGAAAATCTCACTCAAAGCACCCCCAACAGATGGCCATCCAGCCTCTGTTTCAAAGCCTCCTCCTCACTCCGGGCAGAGAGTTCCACTGCTGAACAGCTCTCACAGTCATCGAATCATAGAATCCTAGAGTTGGAAGAGACTTTGTGGGCCATCCAGTCCAACCCCATTCCTCCAAGAAGCAGGAAAATCTCATTCAAAGCACCCCCAACAGATGGCCATCTAGCCTCTGTTTCAAAGCCTCTAAAGAAGCAGCCTCCGGGGCAGAGAGTTCCACTGCTGAACAGCTCTCAGAGTCATAGAATCAAAGAATCCTAGAGTTGGAAGAGACCTCATGGGCCATCCAGTCCAACCTTATTCTGCCAAGAAGCAGGAAAATCGTGTTCAAAGCACCTCCGACAGATGGCCATCCAGCCTCTGTTTCAAAGCCTCCTCCACACTCTGGGCAGAGAGTTCCACTTCTGAACAGCTCTCACAGTCATAGAATCATATAATCCTAGAGTTGGAAGAGACTTTGTGGGCAACCCATTCCAACCCCATTCTGCCAAGAAGCATGAAAATCGTGTTCAAAGCACCCCCGACAGATGGCCATCCAGCCTCTGTTTCAAAGCCTCTAAAGAAGCAGCCTCCGGGGCAGAGAGTTCCACTGCTGAACAGCTCTCACAGTCATAGACTCATATAATCCTAGAGTTGGAAGAGATGTCGTGGATCATCCAGTCCAACCCCAATCTGTCAAGAAGCAGGACAACCACATTCAAAGCACCCCCGACAGATGGCCATCCAGCCTCTGTTTCAAAGCCTCCAAAGAAGGAGCCTCCGCCACACTCCGGGGCAGAGAGTTCCATTGCTGAACAGCTCTCACAGTCAGGAAGTTCTTCCTCATGTTCAGGTGGAATCTCTTTTCTTGTAGTTTGAAGCCATGGCTTCATTGCATCCTAGTCTCCAGGGCAGCAGAAAGCAAGCTTGCTCCCTCCACCCCATGACTTCCCCTCACATATTTATACATGTCTCTTCTTAGTCTTCTCTTCGTCAGGCTAAATATGCCCAACTCTTTAAGCCACTCCTCATAGGGCTTGTTCTCCAGACCCTTGATTATTTTAGTCGCCTTCCTCTGGACACATTCCAGCTTAGAGTCAACATCTCCCTTCAATTGTGGTGCCCAGAATTGGACCAATATTCCAGTTGTGGTCTAACCAAGGCAGAATAGAGCATGCGGAGCATGACTTCCCTGGATCTGGACACTAGACTCCTATTGACGTAGTCCAAAATCCCACTGGCTTTTTTCTCTCTTGTAAGAACTCTTTTAGGAATGGATTTCCCTTCTTAAAGGTATATTTCCCTCACTTCCTGTTGTCTCACCCTTGATCTTAACTGAGTCGTTTATAAGTTGTTTGTAACTCCGAGACTGCTTGTATTAGCTCTTAAGGAAAAGGAGAAGCCATGAACGAGCAGAAGACATAGAACACCATCCAACTGGTTCACCTCCACTGCCCAAGGAAGAGATGCCACCATTAAACCGCCATGCCACCCCAAACGTGCCTGCATGCACTCGGCACAAGCTTCCCAACAGGACCTCAACCTCAGCACCAAGATATAGATCAGTGTTTCTCAACCTTCCTGATGCCGCAACTCCTTCATACCGTTCCTCGTGATGTGGTGACCCCCAAACATAACATTATTTTCGTTGCTTCTTCACAACTGTCAATTTGGTACTATTATGAAACATAATGCAAATATCCGATATGCACAATTCATTGGATCAAATTTGGCACAAATCCCCGGTATGTCCAAATATAAATACTGGTGGCATTGGAGGGAATTAATTTTGTCATTTGGGAGTTGCAGTTGCTGGGATTTATAGTTCACTTGCAATCAAAGAAGCATTCTGAACTCCACCGATGATGGAATTGAACCAAACTTCCCACACAGAACTCCCATGACCAACAGAAAACACTGGAAGGGTTTCGTGGGCATTGACCTTGAGTTTTGGAGTTGTAGTTCACCTACATCCGGAGAGCACTGTGGACCCAAACAATGTTGGACCTCGACCCAAATTGACACAGATATTCAATATGCTTAAATGTGAACACTGGTGGGGTTTGGGGGAAACTGACCTTGACATTTGGGAGTTGTAGTGGTGGGATTTATAGTTCACCTACAATCAAAAAGCATTCTGAACCCCACCAATGATAGAATTGAGCCAAACTTCCCACACAGAACTCCCATGACCAATAGAAAATTCTGGAAGGGTTTGGTGGGCATTGACCTTGAGTTTTGGAGTTGTAGTTCACCTAGATCCGGAGAGCACTGTTGGACCTGGACCCAACTTGGCACAAATCCTCAATATTGCCAAATGTAAATACTGGTGGAGTTTGGGGAAAATAGACCTTGACATTTGGGAGTTGTTATTGGGATTTATAGTTCACAGTCAAAGAGCATTCTAAACCCCAATAACGAGGGAACTGGGCCAAACTTCCCACACAGAACTCCCATGACCAATAGAACCAAAGTTGGCACACAGAACTCCCATAATCAACAGAAAATTTGGTGGGCATTGACCTTGAATTTTGGAGTGGTAGTTTCCCTACACCCAGAGAGCACTGTGGACTCAAGCTATGATGGATCTGGACCAAACTTAGCCTGAATACCTAATATGCCCAAATGTGGAGTTTGGGGAAAATAGACTTGACAGTTGTAGTTGTTGGAATTTCTAGTTCACCTATAATCAAAGAGCATTCGGAACTGCACCAACAATGGAATTGAACCAAACTTGGCACACAGAACTCCCATGGCTAACAGAAAATACTGGAAGGGTTTGGTGGGCATTGAACTTGAGTTTTGGAGTTAGTTTCCCTACATCCAGATAGCACTATGGATTCAAACTATGATGGATCTGGACCAAACTTGGCACGAATACTCAATATGCCCAAATGTGGACACCAGTGGAGTTTGGGGGAAATAGACCTTCGCAGTTGGGAGTTGTGGTTGCTGGGATTTATAGTTCACCTACAATCAAAGAGCATTCTGAACCACACCAACAATGGAATTGGGCCAAACTTCTCACACAGAACCTCCATGACCAACAGACGAGTCCGTGATAAGCGGACCGCGAAGGAGCAAGGGATCACTGTACTGTGTTTTCAAATGGTCTTTGGCGACTCCTGGCAACCCCCTCACAACTCCCCAGGGGTCCCGACCCCCCAGGTTGAGAAACACTGAAATAGAAGATATATGACATAATATATCGATATAATTCTGCAGTCAAGCTATACATTTGTTAACAGTGTTCATATAGGTATGTTTAGAAAGAAAGCAAAAGCGCTAGATCCCCGGCTCTAGCCAATTACATACTCATACCCTCCTGCGAACTCGGGCTCAGCTCGGCCAAGGAGGTGGGCAATGAAGTCGGTCTCGCAGCAGACGTGGATGTGTCGCTCATGGGGGCAGCAGCGCAGGCCCTCGTACAGCGCGGCACAGTAGCCCTTCTCCTTGTTGCAGTCCAGCTCCCCGATCAGGATGGTGTAGGCCCGCAAGACTTTGTTCTTGCAGTCAGTGCAAAACCTGTGCAGTTGAAAGGCGAGGGAAAGGTGAGCTCAGAAACATTGCTTTTTAGACCTGTTACAGCCAGAAGCCAGCTGGAACAAAGAGGTCCCTAGAAAGGCCTTCCTTCATACAGGCTTGTATGAGGGTTGAATGAAAAGTAATGCCACCTTCATTACTTGAGTTTGGATGGGAATATTTTAATAAATCAATCGCAGACATCATCCTTATAATATGCTCTTTAACTACCACTATTCACTTTTCCACATAATCACCAGACAATTGGATACATTTCTGCCAACAATGAACAAGCTTTCTGAAGCCGTTATGGAAGAAGTCGACACTCTGTTTCCGCAACCCATCATGCAGTTCTTCCGATAGCCAAGCAAAGCAATAACGTGACCCACACGTTCTTGTGAAATGCCGATTATGCTTGAAATTTCTCTCTGAGCGATACGATGATTGTCCTGAATCAATCCGTCAACGATTTGCTTGTGAAACTGTTTTTGTTTTAGAGTCTTGAAAATGCAAGTGCGCATTAGATAGGAAAAGTAATGCCTCCACCTTCGTTACTTTGGTTTGGATGGGAATATTTTAATAAATCAATTGCAGAAATCATCCTTATAATATGCTCTTTAACTACCACAATTCACATAATCACCAGACAATTGGATACATTTCTGCCAACAACAAACAAGTTTTCTGAAGCCATCACGGAAGAAGGCGACACTCTGTTTCCGCAACCAGCGTCTTACAGTTCTGTCAATGTCTTCATCAGAAGCATAATGATGTCCCTTCAGATCTTCTTTCATTATCGGAAACAGATGGAAGTCAAACGGTGCTAAATCTGGACTGTATGGAGGATGTCGTATAGTGGTGAGATCCAGTCTCTGAAGTTTCAAGTCTGTGTGCTTTCATTTCAGGCGTCAGTATCCTGGGTACCCATTGTGCACAGATCTTCCAATAGCCAAGCAAAGCAATAATGTGACACACACGTTCTTGTGAAATGCCGATTATACTTGAAATTTCTCTGAGAGAAATCAGACAATCGGCCTGAATCAATCCGTACAACATCTTCCATACAGTCTAGATTTAGCACCATCTGATTTCTATCTGTTCCCGAAAATGAAAGAAGATCTGCGGGGACATCATTATGCTTCTGATGAAGACATTGAGAGAACTGTGAGATGCTGGTTGCGGAAACAGAGTGTCGACTTCTTCCGTGACAGCTTCAGAAAACTTGTTCATCATTGGCAGAAATGTATCCAATTGTCTAGTGATTATGTGGAAAGTGAACAGTGGTAGTTAAAGAGAACATTCTAAGGATTATTTCTGCATTTGATTTTTTAAAATATTCCCATCCAAACGGCGCTAAATCTGGACTGTATGGAGGATGTCGTACGGTGGTGAGATCCAGTCTCTGAAGCTTCAAGTCTGTGCTCCTTCATTTCAGGCGTCAGTATCCTGGGTACCCATCGTGCACAGATCTTCTGATAGCCAAGCAGAGCAATAATGTGACCCACACATTCTTGTGAAATGCCGATTATGCTTGAAATTTCTCTCTGAGTGATACGACAATCGTCCTGACTCAATCTGTCAACCTTTTGCTTGTGAAACTCGGTGGTTGCTGTCACAAGATGTCCAACTCTTTGTTTGTCTCACAAGTCTGATGTTCCCACCTCAACATCTTTAAACTTACTCCCCCAACGACACACAATCAACACAATCACCATTAACAGCTTGCATTCCCTGATGAATCTCCTTTGGGGTGACATCTTCTGTTGTCAAGAATTCAATGAATTCAATTAAAACTTGTGCGCCAGCTGCACCCGTACCTTGGGAAGTCGGATCTGGCCACGGTGGTCCACGCTCGTTACATCCCGGATAGATTACTGCAACACACTCTACGTGGGGTTGCCTTTGAAGACTGTTTGGAAACTTCAATTAGTCCAGCGGGAGGCAACCAGATTACTCACCAGAGCGTCATACAGGGAGCACACCACCCCTCTGTTATGTCAGCTCCACTGGCTGCCGATCCAGTTCTGAGCACAATTCAAAGTGCTGGTTTTGACCTACAAAACCCTATACTGTTCCGGCCCAGCGTATCTGTCCGAACGCATCTCCTTCTACGTCCCACTTTGGAGTTTAAGATCTTCCGGGGAGGCCCTGCTCTCGGCCCCGCCTTTATCACAAGTGAGATTGGCGGGGACGAGGAGCAGGGCCTTCTCAGTGGTGGCCCCTCAACTATGGAATTCACTCCCTGGGGAAATTAGATCATTGTCATCCCTCCTTTCCTTTAGAAAGAAATTAAAAACATGGATTTGGGACCAGGCGTTTGGGCAATCTGGCAGATAAATAAAGGACAATGATGATCGATAGGAATGGAAAATGTGGAATGAAGCTACGGACTCTGAGTTGCAAATGTTGAGCATAAGATTGTTTTTTATTGACTGTGATATATCTTGATTGTTCTTAACTGTTATAACTGTTTTTAAATTGCTGTCTATATCTTATTTGTGTTACTGTGTAGGCATCGAATTGTGCCTTTTTGTAAGCTGCCCTGAGTCCCCCCTCGGGGGTTGAGAAGGGCGGGGTAGAAGTACACGAAATAAATAAATAAATAATGTCTGCACGTTGCTTATGTCGCATTGACACGGTTCCACACTTCGAACTTTAACAACACAACTGTTCAATGCTAAGGCTTCCCGCCAAAATGGAACTGTAGAGGAGAGTCTACTAAACAAGCCAGTACCTGCCACATACCAGTACTGTCATCTGTTGAGGAGTTATGAAGGTGGAGGCATTACTTTTCATTCAACCCTCATATCATGGCCTCTCCAGTGCATGTCATTCGAGCACAAACAACCCACGGAAACAAACTTCTACAAATCTGTCTCATGCATTTGAGCTTTCAAAGGCGGCCCAGTCCCTTTCCCAGGAACGGAATTCTTGGCACGGGATGTGACTTTCTTGGAAGGGACCCATAAGCTCCTTAGAGGCCGGCGCAGGCATAAAGCCGTGTTATGTGGACGGGAGGGGAATATTTTCAGAAAGCAGCTCCCCCATTTTGCACTCAGGATCTGCACAGAAGCCTTTTGTACAGTGTTTCTCGACCTTCCTAATGCCGCGACCCCTTAATGCAGTTCCTCATGTTGTGCTGACCCACAACCATAACATTATTTTGGTTGCTACTTCATCACTGTCATTTTGCTACTGTTAGGAATCATAATGTAAATATCTGATATACAGGATATATTTTTATTCACTGGACCAAATTTGGCACAAAATACCCGATACGTCCAAATTTGAGTACTAGTGGGGTTGGGGGGGGATTGATTTTGTCATTTGGGAGTTGTAGTTGCTGGGATGGTGACGGCCAACAGAGAGCTCTGGCGTGGGCTGGTCCATGAGGTCACAAAGAGTCGGAAACAACTGAACAAAAAACAACAACAAGTTGCTGGGATTTGTAATTCACCTGCAATCAGTTAACCTACAATCAAAGAGCATTCTGAACTCAACCAATGATAGAATTGAACCAAATGTGGCACACAGAACTTCCATGACCAACAGAAAATACCAGAAGGGTTTGATGGGCATTGACCTTGAGTTTGGGAGTTGTAGTTACCCTAGATCTAGAGACCACTGTAGACTCAAACAGTGGTGGATCTGGACCAAACTTGGCAGGAATACTCAATGTTTCCAAATGTGAACACTGGTGGAGCTTGGGGGGAAATGACCCTGACATTTGGGAGTTGTAATTGCTGACCTTGGTTTTGGAGCTGTAGTTCACCTACATCCAGAGAGCACTGTGGAGTCAAACAATGATGGATCTGGGCCAAACTTAGCACAAATCCTCAGTATAGCCAAATGTGAATACTGGTGGAGCTTGGGGAAAATAGACCTTGACATTTGGGAGTTTAAGTTGCTGGGATTTATAGTTAACCTACAATCAAAGAGCATTCTGAACCCCAACAACGATGGAACTAGGCCACACATCCCACACAGGACTCCCAAAACCAACAGAACCAAAGTTGGCACACAGAACTCCCAATGAGCAACAGAAAATACTGGGTTTGGTGGGCATTGAACTTTGGTTTAGGAGTTGTAGTTCACCTCCATCCAGAGAGTGCCGTGGACTCAAACAATGATGGTTCTGGACCAAAGTTGGCACGAATACTCAATATGCCCAAATGTGAACACTGGTGGAGCTTGGGGGAAATTGACCCTGACATTTGGGAGTTTGCTGGGATTTATAGTTCACCTATAATCAAAGAGCATTCTGAACCCCACCAACAATAGAATCGGGCCAAACTTCCCAAACAGAAACCCCCTGCCTTGAAGGGACTTCCTGTCGCGAGCCTCCCTCCAGCCTCACACGCTCTCCCACGCCTGAACATTCACCGAACACATGAAACAGAGGCATTTATATGCCTCCCTTCTCACCCCAAAGGGGACTCAGAGTGGCTTACAATATATATTTTCATATAATATATTATTAGTATAGTACAACATCAGTATTATACATTACTATATTGCACTATACCATTATATTGTAATATTAGTAATATTACATGTAATTTAAATATATAATTATAATTTTAATTATAATATTGTATTATTATTGCTAGTATTATATTGTATTACATTATAAGATTATAAATATTATATGTATATACAATACACTATATTATTAGTAATGACAAGATGGAAATGTCTTCTGCTCCCCTCTGTCTTCGCTCTGGCCAGAGCAGCAGTTGGTGCCATATAGGGTTTTTTATGGTCTTTGGCAACCCCTCTGAAACCCCCTCGTGACCCCCAGGTTGGGAAACACTCCTTTTGTGTGTCTTAATGGAAGGAAGAGTCTGCGCGCTCACCTGTGTTTTCGCAGATATGTCTCTAACGTCTCTAACAGGCAACTGGAATCAATTAAGACTACTTCGTCCCGGCACTCCTGGGACATGAGTTCCCACACATCCATCCAGCAACCCCTGCAGAGATTACAAAAAAAAGTGGACATTTCAAACTGGGCCTTTTCAGTGGTGGCCCCTGAATAAAGACTCCTCTTTCTAGAGAAAATCATCAAGTGAGCTAAAATCATTTTCCTTGTGGTGCCAGGCTGCTTGTATGATCATGTTTTCGTCACAGCAGCGTTTGCTTTCTGGGGGTTGGTGCTCATCTCCATTTCTAAGCCAAAGAGCTGGCGTTGTCCATAGACACCTCCAAGGTCATGTGGCCGGCATGACTGCATAGAGCGCCGTTAACATCTATTAAGTGAAAATGTGTATGTGTTTATGTGGCGGAGGTGTCCACTTACACAGCCTCCCACCTCCACAAACAGCTTCAACTCCCTGTGCTGAGAAGCCACCAAAAGCCCTCCCTCCAAGGACATCTCAGGTTACAGCGGGCGCTATGAACTCGTCTCCCAAACCCTGCCAATATCCTCCCCAAACACCATCCTGCCTGCCAGCCAAGGAAGGCTTTCATTTGGCAACCATTTCACCCTAAATGTTCTGTTTTGCCTCCGGAATGGACATCCCAGGGTTCCTTAATCTTTCCATTGGTGTGGAATTTGCATGACCCTGCCCACTGCCTCTCCCTTAACCTTTTCCTACGGCACACAGAAAACAGGAATTGATCTGCAACTGAACAAGAGGTTTGGGAAGAATTTACCATGATTTATAGGAGTTGTAGTTCACCTACATCCAGAGAGCACCGTGAACCCAACCAACAATCCAGGGAGGATTGGCCCACGGTTTGGGAGTTGCAGTTCACCCACATCCTTATTTATGTATTTATTTCCAACATTTATATGCCTTCCGTCTCACCCCGAAGGGGACTCAGAGCAGCTTACAAGATATATATACAAACATACAATATACTATATTATTAGCATAGTACAATATCAGTATTAAATATTACTATATTGTATTATACCATTATATTGTAATATTATTAGTAATACTACATATAATATAAATATATAATTATAATATCACATTATTAGTATTAGTATTATATTGCATTAATTTACAATATTATAAATATTATATGTATATAGGTAAATGTATTCCCCTGACATTAAGTCCAGTCATGTCTGGGGTGCGGTGCTCATCTCTATTTCTAAGCCGAAGAGCCGGTGTTGTCCGTAGACACCTCCAAGGTCATGTGGCCAGCATGACTGCATGGAGCACCATTACATTACATTACATTACATTATATATATATATATTACAATAATATAATATAATATAATATTGTAATATAAATAATATACCGTATATACTCGAGTACAAGCCGACCCGAATATAAGCCGAGGCACCTAATTTTATCACAAAAAACTGGGAAAATGTATTGACTCGAGTATAAGCCCCACTATGGGTCAATTTCAAAATAAAAATAGATACCTATTGAGGCATCAATAGGCTAAATGTTTCTGAATATTTACGTAAAACTGTAATTTAAGATAAGACTGTCCAACTCTTATTAAACCATTATTCTAACCTCCTTCAATGTAAATGTACTTATTATTAAAACAATAAATATAAAAATAATAGAGTAAAATAATGAAAATGCAATAAAAACAGTAATAAAAGAGTACAATAATAAATGTAGTAATAATAGGGTAAAGTACTGTAAATGTAATAATAATAATAATAGTAATAATAATAATAGTAAAATAATAAATGTAATAACAATAGGGTAAAATACTGTAAAAGTAATAATAATAACAGGGCAAAATAATAAATAGAATAATAATAGAGCAAAACAATGTAAATATAATCATAACAGAGTAAAATAATAAATGTAATAAAATAATACTAATAACAAAGGAAAAGAATAAATAACCTTGACTCGAGTATAAGCCAAGGGGAGCTTTTTCAGCCTAAAAAGGGGGCTGAAAAACTAGGCTTATACTCGAGTATATACAGTAATGTATTATATTATATTATATTATATTATATTATATTATATTATATTATATTATATTATATTATATTATATTATATTATATTATATTATATTATAAACATAGCACAGGAGTCAAGGTGGGAGCATTCATTTAAAAAAACACATCAAAGATGGCTTTTTCTAATAAATAGTGTTGCTAATTAACTAAATGATATAACCTAACATCACAAAACAAACAATGCCTTTTTCAAATAAGCCGGGCATGGCCGGTTACCCAAGCCATTTAACAATAACGCCAACCACCCCGAGTCCATTTACCTGGCAGCTCCCTGGAAAGGTCCATAGCAGAAAGTTATCCTACACTTGCTCTCCTTCCTGTCGTCGTCACTAGTTCTCTTATCTGCACCTAACTTCTCTGAGCTCAGGGCGCTAGCGTCGCTGGAGCACACATAATATTAGAACAAGCATTTAACGGCTACGTCAAGGCGCCCGTCGCTTCCCCGGAACCCTGGCCTCCCCTGGCATTCGAGAACGCCGCTTTCCAAACCCACAACATTGTCCCGCCACAAGGTCCAGACTCCTTGGGTTACACTTGAGCATCCCAACTCAAGACTTTCCAAGTTTCAGAGTCCAACGTTTACCCCCCGCCGCTACTTACCCCAATGGTTTGGGTTTGTGGGTGTCCAAGGAGTGCAACTGGCATCGCTTGTTCTTCTTACTTTTGGGAATTGCATCTATCATGTCATTTAATTTGGACCTTTGAAGGAAAGAGATGAGACATGAACGAGGAGACACGAACGAGGTCACCATTAAATCCGAGGAATGTCTCCAGCCCCCAAACGTACCCATGCACGTAGAAGAGCGTGTAGAGCTTCTTGGCGTCCCGCATGCAGCTGGGGGTGACCGAGAGGACGCCTTTCGACCCGACCGTGAGGGGCTCCAGGGCGGGATTCCCCGACTCGACCAGCTGAGAGAAAAGGCGCTCCACGCTGCGACGGCAGCCGACACAAGGGACGAGCTGGGAAAGTGCGCTCAGGACTTCCCGAGAGGTCACCATCATGGCAATGTTCAAGTCCTGCTGCTTCAGCATGCTGTGCCGCTGGAGGGAGGCATCGAGAAATGGGCAACCACGTTTTGGTTTTGGAACAAAAAAAGAGCACGACCACAACATGACACTAGAGAGAGGTGGCAACCCTGACAATCTAAATCAGCAAACACATGACGTGTCACAAAACACTCACTAACATGGAAAAGGTTTTGAGTACGCCAGGTTGTTTCTATCAAGTGCTATCGTTCAAAACACAGTGACTATGGAACAGGAGACTCCGCTAGAAATAAGGAGAGTGAGTAGACCGAAGTCTGTTAGTGAGTGGGCCAAAGCTAGTGTTGTCCTGGGGAGAGTGAGTAGGCCAAAGCCTGTTAAAGTCGGTGGGGTAAAGCTAGTGTCCTGAGGAGAGTGAGTAGGCTGAAGTTTGTCAGAGTCAGTGGGCCAAACCTAGTGTCCTGAGGAGAGTGAGTAGGCCGAAGTCTGTTAGTCAGTGGGCGAAAGCTAGTGTCATCCTGAGGAGAGTGAGTAGGCCGAAGCCTATTAGAGTCAGTGGACCAAAGCTAGTGTCCTGAGGAGAGTGAGTAGGCCAAAGCCTGTTAAGAGTCAGTGGGTCAAAGCTAGTGTCCTGAGGAGAGTGAGTAGGCCGAAGTTTGTTAGTCAGTGGGTCAAAGCTAGTGTCCTGAGGAGTGTGAGTAGGCCGATGCCAGTTAGAGTCAGAGGGCCAAAGCTAATGTCCTGAGGACAGTGAGTAGGCTGAAGTCTGTTAGTCAGTGGGCCAAAGCTAGTGTCATCCTGAGGAGAGTGAGTAGGCCGAAGCCTATAAGAGTCAGTGGACCAAAGCTAGTGTCATCCTGAGGAGAGTGAGTAGGCCGAAGCCTATTAGAGTCAGTGGACCAAAGCTAGTGTCATCCTGAGGATTGTGAGTAGGCTGAAGCCGGTTAGAGTCAGAGGGCCAAAGCTAATGTCCCGAGGAGAGTGAGTATGCTGAAGTTTGTCAGAGTCAGTGGGCCAAACCTAGAGTCCTGGGGAGAGTGAGTAGGCCGAAGCCAGTTAGAGTCAGAGGGCCAAAGCTAGTGTCCTGAGGAGAGTGAGTAGGCCAAAGCCTGTTAAGAGTCAGTGGGCCAAAGCTAGGGTCATCCTGAGAAGAGTGAGTACGCAGAAGCCTGCTAGAGTCAGTGGGCCAAAGTTAGTGTCGACCTGAGGACAGTGAGTAGGCTGAAGCCTGTTAAGAGTCAGTGGGCCAAAGCTAGTGTCATCCTGAGGAGTGTGAGGTAAACCTCTGTGTGAGAGAAGCCTTGTGTGAGAAAGCCCCAGTGTGAAGGCTGCTGCATGTAAAACTACTATGTATTTGTTTATCTGTGTTATGGAATCCTTGTCCTTGTAAATAGTGCAACCATATAATTTTACTACAAAGAAAAGCCTCCTAAACATACATATGTTCCCCCCAAATATTTTCAAGGTGTCAAGAAGACCTAGAAATTCCTAGCTTGTCTGGGGAGAGGCAGAGGGAAAACTCACTTACGGATGTCCTTCACCCACAACAGAATGGGAAAAGGGGATTATTATTCAGGGCCTTGCGTACCTGAATGAACTGCTTTAGTTGTGCTCCGTTGCTGTGATGTCCATCGAGGTTTAACACATTATCGGGAAACTCCATCACCATCTGTGCAAAGACAACAGTTACAGGTTAGGCTTCCAAGGCCCCCAAGCCGTTGGCAGAGCTTCCAAGAAAGCAGGCAAACCATTCTAGATGAAAGGGAGGAATATGGCACCAGACCCTAGGACACGGGACATGGAAATCCTCTGTAGGGATCAGTTCTGTAGGTTTGATCTTAAGTTATGTAAGTCAGAACAGGATATATATGTGTGTATGTGGCAGCATTCTTATTGGCTGCCGAATGATGAACCTGGACCAAACTTGGCACACATAACCCTCATGACCCCTATATATATAGTTGGAATTACACTTAAAATTGTATAGATACACACACATGTATACATAAATACATAATGAAGGTAAAGGTTTCACATACATATGAAACTGTACAAAAACAGGGTTTTCTATATGCCATATTACTTCGCGTTTAAGATGCCGCTTATTGTAAGGTATATACTAATCTATATAAATAAAAATGTAATATTCGTTTGTGGGATTAACAGAACCCAAAAACCAGTGGGCCAATTGACACCAAATTTGGACAGCATACACCTAAAAACCCAATGTATGTCCTTCATGCAAAAAAAATTGATTTTGTCATTTGGGAGTTGTAGTTGCTGGGATTTATAGTTCACCTACAATCAAAGAGCATTCTGAACTCCACCAATTATGGCATTGAACCAAACATGGCATACAGGACTCCCATGACCAACAGAAAACACTAGAAGGGTTTGGTGGGCATTGACCTTGAGTTTGGGAGTTGTAGTTCACCTACATCCAGAGAGCACTGTGGACCATGGCCAACAGAAAATACTTAAGGCCACCCAGTCCAACTGTCTTCACCAGGGAAAGAAAACGTAATCAAAGCCCTCCTGACAAAGAGCCATCCAGCCATAGATATAGATAGATATATATGATTCACACACACACAGATATAGTATCATCATAGATTTGAAAGGGACCCCTAAAGAAGGACAATTATATGTTACATATCCCAGAGTAGGCAAACCAGAAAATCTCCACCTCAACACTTACAAAGAAACAACAAAAAATACTGTTTATCCACAACATAAAGAAATTGCATGTATTAGTAATCAACACTTTCTCATTACTTTATTTTCCAGATCACCAGACTGGGCCACAGCAACGCGTGGCAGGGAACGGCTAGTGTCATTATAATTTCAGATACACCATATATACACATACACAAAAGTAAAATTGATTTTGTCATTTTGGAGTTGTAGTTGCTGGGATTTATAGTTCACCTACAATCAAAGAGCATTCTGAACCCCACCAACGATGGAATTGAACAAACTTGGCACGCAGTTCTCCCATGATCAACAGAAAATACTGGAAGGGTTTGGTGGGCAGTGTCCTTTGGTTTTAGAGTTGTAGTTCACCTACGTCCAGAGATCACTGTGGACTCAAACAATGATGGATCTGGACCAAACTCTACACGAATACTCAATAAGCGCAAATGTGAACACTGGTGGAGTTTGGGGAAGATAGAATCTTGACATTTGGGAATTGTAGTTGCTGGGATTTATAGTTCACCTACAATCACAAAGCATCCTGAACCCCACCAACGATAGAATTGAGCCAAACCTCCCACACAGAACCCACATGTGGGCCACAGCAACGCGTCGCAGGGGACGGCTAGTTATCAATAAATATAGATAATAATAAATGTCATAAAAATAGAGTAAAATAATAAATGTAATAAAAATAATACTAATTACAGAGTGAAATAATTTATTATTTATTATTTATTACTTGCACTTATTTACCGCCACTCTCAGCCCAGGGTGAGAACCTTGACTCAAGTATAAGCCGAGGGGAGCTTTTTCAGCTGAAAAACTAGGCTTATACTTGAGTATATACAGTAACTCTTCCAGGATTTCCCTTCCAAGGAACAGATTCCTCTCACTTCCTGTTGTTTCACCTCTGTTCTTAACTATGAGTCGTTTGTAACTTGAGGATGGCCTTTGAAAATCCTTCATTATAAACACGTTAAAGGCCACAAAGGTCAAACGTGATGGGGAGATTAAACACCTCGCAGCTATTTCCTGTAGTTTCCTATTCCTCGGGATCCTCCCGGTCTTCTCTGGACACCTCCATAAACACCCAATGCCTCCAAAACTCCCAGGCGCTTTTGGAGCAGAGTCAGCGACCCAACAGTTTAATTACAGTGGTAAAATTACAGAGGAGCAGCAAGGCGGGCGCGACAGTTCTAATGACTCCGAGGCGGGGAAGTCAACTCTCTCTCGAAGCGCCAATTTTGGAGGCGCTCCTTAATTAAAACAAGAGACTCCAAGGTATAATGTTTTCCGCCCGGGTAGACGAAGCCTCGCAAGCGGTTCAAAGCAAGGCCAGTGGCACCCAAATGAAGCATAGGATTGGTTTGAGTGTTATTTATTTATTGTGTCAGGAGCGAACCAAACCATTGTATTTAAAAAAAACAAAACAAAACAAAAAAACCCACAAAGTTTGCAAACTTGGCATTCTATTAAATGTCCTCTGGTGTTGCTATGAGAAGGTCCTCCATTGTGCATGTGGCAGGGCTCAGGCTGCATTGCAGTAAGTGGTCTGTAGTTTGTTCTTCTCCACACTCACATGTCGTGGACTCCACTTTGTGGCCCCATTTCCCCACATCTCATGGTCCCAGAGCACAGTCTGTTCAGCAACTTCCAAGTCACCCAATCTTCTGTGTGCCCAGGAGGGAGTCTCTCATCTGGTCTCAGCCACTGATTGAGGTCCCGGGTTTTAGCCTGCCACTTTTGGACTCTTGCTTGCCGAGGTGTTCATGCAAGTATCCCTGTAGAGCAGTGTTTCTCAACCTGGGGATCGGGACCCCTGGGGGGGGTCACGAGGGGGTTTCACGGTGGTCCCATATTTCCGATGGTTTTCGGAACCCCTTTGGTATAGTTGTTTGGGTTCACAGTGCTCTCTGGATTCCTAAATCACTGTCAATTCATCCCAAATCCCTCCAGTATCTTCCATTGGTTATGGGAGTTCTGTGTGGGAAGTTTGGCCCAATTCTATCATTGGTGAGGATCAGAAGGCTCTTTGATTGTAGGTGAACTATAAGTTACAGCAACTACAACTCCTGAATGTCAAGGTATATTTTCTCCAAGCTCCACCACTGTTCACATTTGGGCATATTGAGTACTCATGTCAAGTTTGGTCCAGATCCATCATTGTTTGAGTCCACAGTGCTCTCTGGAAGTAGGTGAACTACAACTCCCAAACTCAAGGTCAATGCCCACTACGCCCTTTCAGTATTTTTTGTTGGCCATGGGAGTTCCTGGCGATTGTCAGGTGGCGCAGCACCGGGATTGTGGCGCAGCTGGCTGAGTGTCAGCTGCATTAAGATCACTCTGACCAAAAGGTCATGAGTTCGACGCCAGCCCGGGTTGAAGTGGGTTTCCAACCAATTGTGTGTAGCCTGTTGTCGACCTTTGCAACCCGAAAGACAGTTGCATCTGTCAAGTAGAAAAATAAGGTACCACCTTAAAGTGTGGGGAGGCTAAATTAGCTGATTTATGAGGCCATAAAGAAGACTCCAGCAAAGCATTCCAGCAGGGAAGCATGCGGGGAATGCAGAAGTGCTTCATCAGTGTCGCAGATGGACAATGAAAGCAACAGCTCCCCTGGCGGCCAGAAAAAGTTAAATAGCCTCTGTGTATGTCTGTATATGTTTGCATGTCAAAAATTGGCATTGAATGTTTGCCATATATGTGTACACTGTAATCCGCCCTGAGTCCCCTGGGGTGAGAAGGGCGGAATATAAAAGCTGTAAATAAATAAATAAATAAATACCGGCTAAGCAGTGTAATTTCTCCAGTGGTGTTGGGTGCAGACACCCAACACCACTGTGTTGGGTGGTGTTGGGTGCAGTGGTGTTGGGTGCAGATGATGCGGCATATCTCATTAAAAGCCACATCCACTGTTTTAGCGTGGTGAGATGTGTTCCACACTGGACATGCGTACTCAGCAGCAGAGTAGCAAAGCGCAAGGGCAGATGTCTTCACTGTGTCTGGTTGTGATCCCCAGGTTGTGCCAGTCAGCTTTCGTATGATACTATTTCTAGCACCCACTTTTTGCTTGATATTCAGGCAGTGCTTCTTGTAGGTCAGAGAACGGTACAGGGTAACTCCCTGGAATATGAGGGTGCTGCAATGCTCCAGTGGGATTTCTTCCCAGGTAATCCTCAGAGCTTGGGATGCTTGTCTGTTCTTATGATGAAAAGCACATGTCTGTATTTTAGATGGATTATGAATCAGCTGGTTTTCTCTGTAATAGACAGTAGGAGCACCTAAAGCTTTGGAGAGCTTCTGTTCAACCATCTCAAAGCTCCCTGCTTGAGCGGTGATGGCATGGTCGTTAGCATAGATGAAACTCTCTGTCACTTCCGGCAGTGGCTGATCATACGTGTAAATGTTGAACATTGATGGAGCAAGCACACTCCCCTGAGGTAGGGCGCAGACACCCTGTGATAATGCGGCATAGGAGCCACATTCACAGTTTTAAGCGTGGTGACATGTGTTCCACACTGGGCATGTGTACTCAGCAGCGGAGTAGCAAAGTATGACATGAGAGGTGAGAGAAGCCTCCCTGCAGGATTGCCAAGACATCCGGGCGTCCCCTGGGTAACGTCTTTGTAGACGGCTGATTCTCTCACTCCAGAAGCGACGTGCAGCATGCAACCAAACAAGCAAACCAAACAACCAACGGTGTGAGTGTTAAGACCAGGGTTCAAATCCCCACTCGCAGGAAAAGTGACACTCGGCCTCCAAGGAAAGCAATGAACAAATCTTGCCATGACCCACCATAAGTTAGAAATGACTTGAAAGGCGAACAAGCAACATACAACAAGGAGACAGCTTTCCCGTCTGCCCAAACTGCACAGAAAAAAAGAGCACATTGAATGATGGAAGTATTTCAGTACAATCTTCCTATCCGCGGGATCCGTGCCCACAGTTTCATTTATCTGTACCTGACAAAAT